AGTTTCTGGTCAGGAACATATAAAGTACTGTAGATATTTCCAGCAGAAAGGGCTTTAATGCAGGGGATGGGTTACAAAGGGGTTAGAAGTGTTAAAGGAGTTAAAAGGGTTGGTGTGATTCAGAGACAAGGAAACTGCTACTATTCTAGGGAGAGAGGGCATTGGCCAGAATCAGGAAGCTCCTACCACCTGAGGACTGGAACTCATAAGCCCATACTTACTATTGACATTACCTGAACCACTGCTGCCACAGCTACTCCATGAACAGAATTTCTCCTACCTTCTTACTGCCTTCTAATCTGACTTGACTGGCTCCTGTTGTTAGAACCTAACTAGAACGCACCGGCAAAGGAATCTGGGAAATGTGGTTTGTACGCTGTTAGCCCCAGTGGTAACAGGGAAGGTGAGTGTGGAGCTGAAGTTCAACAGACAACATCTGGGATAGATGATTGGGCTAGTGCTGATTTCAGTGCACCCTCTGCAGTGGGAGAAGTCTGCAAGAGAGAAGTGAAGTCCCGGACCAGAACTTTGCAGCGGTCCCACCTTTGGGTCTGAGAAAGGAAGTGTCTGGCAGTTGTCAGCCCTGTGACTCCCTTGGAATAGCAGAGCCATGTTCAGGGGCAGAATTCCCTCATCCTCATCCAAACAACAGTCAGTGGTGCCTCCCTTACATGAGAGCCTACAACTCTGTGGTGAGTCATTATCTCTTTCCTCAGAAGTTCATCACTTCAATTAAGAGGCAGAAAGAAAAATGACAGATGGGAACCAAGCAGATACAGCAACCCCAACCTATTGAGAGTTCAGACCACTTAGGAACCATAGTGGTTGTCTACTTTGCTCCCTTTCTACCATCTATGAAACTGAGAAGGTTGGCATTTATTGAGTGAATTTGAGCTGTGGAAAAGCCAGATCTGATCCTACACAGATTTATTGACCAGAATTACCCCATCTAGCTATCTTCAGATACTGGCTAGTGCTTCCCTTGACACTGCATGTATGAACATGGCTTTGTGGAACCAATTCTTTCTTGCTAAGGCTGGGGCAGGGAAAACAACCGGGTATGGTTACCCTGGCATTGCAAGCAGAGGTGGATTTCCCTTTCTGTCCCTTCTGCCGCCCCATCTCGCAACCAGAAATGTCCCATTCTGGCTTGTCAGGAGAGAAAAAGGATGCATGAATTTGTTTGGCAGTGTCTTTAGTCTATCTGATATTAATTTTTGTGTGTGGTGTAAGATAGGAGTTCCATTTATTTTTCTTTTTATATGCAGGTATCCAATTGTCTCAGACCATTTATTGAAAAGTGCACCCTTTCTTACGAATCTGGAATACCATCTCTGCTGTATATCGTGTGCATGATTGTGTAGACCTATTTGTAGGCTTTCTACGCTGTTCCACTAGTCTCTTTGTGGTATAATACCATCCTGCCTTAATTACTGTATCTTTATATTGACTTTTTATCTGGTAAGGCAATACCCATTGCCTTGTTATTCAGGAGTAATTTAGATATTCTTGTCTATTTGCATTTTCATAAATTTTGGGATCAGATTCTCAGGTTCCACAAAAATATATCTTGAGGTTTTGATTGGGTTTGCATCAAATCTATAGATCATTCAGGTGAGAAATGACATCTTTATAATATTAGTCTTCTAATCCATTGAGCACAGTGTATTTCTCAATTCATTCAGATCTTTATATCTCCTAATAAAATTTTATAATTTTTTCCATAGAAAATCAAAACATTCTATTTTCTTTAATGTTCCTTGAGATTGAGATAATATCTCCTAATAAAATTTTATATTTTTTCATAGAAAATAAAAACATTCTATGTATTATATAATATTATATATGTTATATATAATATTATATATATTATATTATGTTATATATAATATTATATATATTATATTATTATATATTATTATTATTTATATATTCTAGTTTATGTTATTCTAGTTTTATTGAAGTATATGTATACACATATATTTTGGTTTCAGGGAAGTATGATAGGATGATTAATAAAAGATTTTTCAAACTTAAAAGTACATTACATTTGCATAATTTTTGTTGGGGGGGAGTGAAATGGAATTATGACTTCTAGGAGAGAAAGAAACTGCAATATATCCAGCTGTTAAAGAACTTGTTCAAGTTTTTTAAAAGATGTGCAATACTGGATATTAAAGAACTAAAGAATTTAGAGTCCATTGGATACATTGAAAAAGTGATGTACATATTATTTTTAAATGTCAATTTTAATAATATATTGGAAATTATATCCTGTGGTGGAAATTGCTTCTGAGATATGGATACCCAACAAGGGACTAAATTTCCTAATCTACCTTGAAACTAGATGTGACAAGATAGGACTGAGCTCTCATCAGTGGAATTTGAGCAGAAGTAATGAGTATAAGTCTATTGCTTAAAAGATAATTCCTGGCCCTGAATGACCCTTCCTTCTTCTGTCCCACTGGCAGGAATGGAAATGACTTACAGTGACCTTGGAAGTCTCATATAGAAGATGGCAGATCTGTCATCAGCCTGGGCCCCTGTCTGATTATACAGAGACCTTAAAACCCTCAACTCAGAATGTGACATGAAAGAAATAAACTTCTTTGTTTTTTAAGCCTCTGAATTTTAAGGGACTTCTTTGTTACAGCAGCTAGGACTTCCTTAACTAATACAGGAATCGGTACTATGAAAGTGGAGCACTACTATGACAAAAACCTGAATTTTTCAGCATTTGCCTAATGCCTAGATAGCAAATGATGAAGAAATAAATAGTGCTAGTTAGAAGGCTAGGGTCCCCTAGACAACTGGTACATTTGTTACCTATGTTAACTTGGAAGGCAGACCACATGCCTACCAAGCCAGTAGATCTAGGGCAAGAGCCAGAATGCTAATGTGTAATGGTTTCTTCTTACCACCTTAGGAAAAGATGAGTTCAGATAAGAAATAGCCAGTTTGCAAGCAGAGGTGGAAGAGAATGGAGAGAATCTTTATATTAAAAGCCTTAAAAGCCTCACAAGGTTGGAAAATCCCACTGCTTCTGGACCCAAGAAATAAGTCTCTTTCTCAAAGTTTACTTAAAGACTCATTAAAACCTTTATGTCAAACATTAAGACAAACAATGGATCCATTATGGAAGGAAGAATCAGATTATGGTAATCACCCATCTTCGCATCAAATTTATTGTTTCTGATGGCAACAAGTTAGCTGACATTAAGAGATGAGAACATGAAGACAATCAGAGTAAAGCAGGCCTAAGAATTATGTCCAGGAAATTACTTTGGTTGTAGATACTGGCACATTAAAGTGATTGGAAGCAAACTAAATAGACAGCCACTTTCATATTTCATCAATTCTTTTATTTTCTTTCATTTTTTTGATATATAAGTGACATATTGCACCACATAAGTTTAAGGTGTACAGCATAATGACTTGATATACATGTTGTGAAATTATTACCACAGTAAGTTTAGTTAACATCCATCATCTCATATAGATTAAAAAAAAAAAAAGAAAAAGGAAGGTTTTTCCTTATGATGGGAACTTTTAGGATTTCTTCTCTAAGCAATTTTCAAATATACCGTACGGCAGTGGTAACTATAGCCATCATGCCGTACATTACATCCCAACTACTTATTTATCTTGTAACTAGAAGTTTGTACCTTTTGACTATCTTCAATTCTGCCACCCCCTACCCCCTGCCCTGGTAACCACAAATCTGATCTCTTTTTCTATGAGTTTGATTTTTTGTTTTTGTCTTGTTTTGTTTCTTAGATTCCACATATAAGTGAAATCATGCAGTATTTATCTTTCTATGACCTATTAGCATAATGCCCTCAAGATCCATCCATGTTGTCAGAATGACAGGATTTCCCTTTTTATGGCTGAATAGTATTCCATCATGTGTGTATATGTGTGTATGCCAAATCTTCTTTATCCATTCATCTATTGATGGACACTTACGTAGGTGGTTTCCATCTCATGGCTATTGTAAATGATGCTGCTATGAACATGGGGGTACAGATATCTCTTTGATTCATCAATTCTAAGACATGCTTTTTTTACATTTTAACATTCTAGAAATTAGGAGTGACTTACCATCCCTGTTTGTCAAGCATCTGTCCTTATGTATTTGTAATTCTCAAAATATGCAGGAATTTGGCCACAGTAATTCACATTGCCATCACTTCAGTTGAGTTATCACACTGTTGATACTACATGTTAAATTCAGTTGCCATTTTAAATGTTTTCAAAAATATTATGCCATTATTTGCCATTGAAATGAAAAATTGTTGTATTTGCAAAAGACACAGGACAGCATAGCATAAATTGGTATTAATAAAGGTTCAAATTCTTCTGGTAGGATCAAGAAGTGCCAGCATCAACATTTGCAAAATGGGTGCCAATGGTTTGGGAAATCTGAGAGACAATAGTGGAGTGTTAAATAATGTATCATTACCAACCCTCTAGGTGACACAGAGGGTACCAATGTTTGGAGAAACTTGGAATAGCAAGAATGAGGTTGTGAAAATTATACAACTCCCAAGAAGAGTATTTCCCCAACTTCTTCTTCACATGTGATCATGGGGTATAATGGACAAAGAAGAAACTCCCAGGGAGCAAAGCCAGGTCCTCTAGAGGATAGTGGTCATAGGAATTCTCCCCATCATCAGAATTAGGGCAGATAGATAGGTTAGTCAAGAAATTTAATCTACTGTCAGAGGTGGGAGTCTCTGCTTTATAAGTCTTTATTTTCTTTCATTTTTCTTTCATTATTTTCCTGTTGTGGGCTTTATAGTCACTATGGATTGATGACTATTAGTGTTTCTAATTCTTCCTTTTTCCAAATAGGAGTTTCACTATGGTTATTCTGTTCCCACATTACCACTGGATTTTGGGTAGGGAGGGAGCAGATAACTTGTCTTTTTGTTTCTAGATCTATAGACCTGAGGAACCACACTCATTAAATTCCTTTCTCTCTTCTTCCATAACAATAGAGCCTTTGCTGTGATATGGCTGCCTGGCCTGGGACCACATATCCCAGTCTTCTCTGCAGCAAAGTGATGGCCATGTAACAAAGATTTCACCAATGGAATATGAGCAGAACTGATATAACTTCAGCTTCTCTTGCTTAAAAGAAATCCTTGCACCTAGGATCCTGCTCTTTCTCTTTGTTGGCTGGAATAGTAACTAGAATTACTTTAGAAGCCATGTGTCAAAGATAGCAGAACATCCTACTCAGCCTGAATCCTGGAACCAGAATAAAAGAAAGAAATAAACTCCTCTGTTCTTTAAGCTACTAAATATTGACTATCTGTTTGTTACAGCACTGTAGCCTTTAACCATAGCTAATACGTGTAACTTACAACTGTTTAAATTTATTATGAAAAATATTAAATAACTTCCAACTGTGTGAAAAGGTAAGTAGTTTTTGTTTTGTTTTGCTTTCTTTTCTTTTAAGGGATTCACAAGCAACAAAGTTTAAAGACTCCTGGGGTAGTTCCTACTTGATTTCTGCTTCTTCACCTTCTAGTCACTCAGCGACCTATTATATTCTTGTTCCCTTCCTCTCTAAAAAGAGAGTATACGGATTCCAAACAGGTTGATGTGTTAATCACTCTAAAACCTCTAGATATATCAAATGCCTTCCCCACCCATAGTTCCTTCTAAGGGAACTTACCCTATCTTCAGTTCCTATTGAGAGAGCTGCCCCATATTTGTTCCATGTGACCCAGTGCACCCCTCTTCTCTACCATTGCTCATGGTCACAGCTGACTGGGCCAGGATGGGCACCTGTCCAGTGAGCAGCCAGTCCATAGACAGGTCGGGAAACTCTGCTGTAGCCTGACTCAAAAAGCCAAACTGGCTCTATCATATTACCTCTTTTTTAGAAGATGTGAAGTAGATGGCAAAGGAAGCTGAAATTGAGCATATGTGTAAAGAAAGGCCATGAATTAGTGCTGGGACCATTCAGGACAGATCAAACTCAGGTCGCAAAGAAGCAGAAACTGTGAATTGGCAAAAGCTAAGAGGTAGAAAAGAGCTATATAGAATAGAGGAATAAAGTAAACCAGAGAGGGCATTTCTGTCTCATGTATGGCATGCCAGTTATCCTAGTTATTTTAAAAACTACAAACACATGGGAATTCTGGGTAAAATGTAACAAATATCCCCTAAAATGCATAGTTGAGGTAAAGTAGGTAAATCTGGGAGGGAAGGGAGGAGCAAAGAGAAAGACAAAACCAAAGTGGTAAGCGTGTGCTGATGTTTTGTGCTGATGGAAGCTTTTATTGTTCTCAGCAAACAAGAAGCATGGTGGGGATGAGAGATAAAGAGCTCCCTCAGTGAAAGGATGGGCCATTATTCTATCCGCCAACAAAGGGACATCACGAGGATACTTGTCAATCTAAGCTTGACAATTGTTGGAGCCCCCAAGTGGTACCTGAATCAGTTGGGGAACGCAGATTAACAGTGTCTCCAATGTGGCCTCCCAGACAGCTGGTACACCTTAAGTTCCCAATTCTGTTTGAATAATTGAGTTTAGTCCTCAGTTTTGGAAAGCCAATCTGAGGGCAGTTATCCAGTCTGTTCTATTTGTCCACACCACCAGCCAAATGACATTTGTCCACCCTGTAGAATGAGTCAAGGCTATGGGAATGAGCTTGGGGAAAACATCTGGAGGTGCTGACAGGTGTTTGGTACGAAAGTTTAGCAGCTTGGGTCCTCCCCCATTGTTGCTGATAGACTTCTCAGTAAGATTAAGGACAATGGTGATCAAATTGTCATCAGAGCTATCTGGCAAGGACAGCAGACCCAACAGTCAGTTAAATTATAAAGTACACAAGTAAAACAGTTGTGGAAAGCTACAGTGGGGCATTTTCCCTCATACACCCAAGGCTCCAGGGGCGGTTCTAAAAGAGAAAAGGTCATTAACGTCCCTCCCTCTTCTGCTGGTGATGTTGCTCCCCTCCACCCCCACAAAATTGTTTTGGCCCATTCCAGCAGCTGTAACTTCACTTTTTTCCAATCATCTATTATTCATACCCATACCTTTTGTCCATAAGAGTCAGGTGCAAGAAGGACAAGGATGTTTTTAGAAAACTTACAGAGACCCCGTTATATCCCCCACTTTAGCCCATATGGGTCATGATGGGGAGATTCCGTGAGCAATGTACTCAACCAAGTGGTCATTACCTTAACGATCTAGACCATGGAAGTCTAACAAGAGAATCCAGATGGCCGAACCAGAATTAAGTTTTAATCCCCTGGGCCTGCCACCTAGAGAGTGTACCAACCAGGCTGGCTTGGGGTTGCCATTAGGAAAAGAAAAAAGCATCATGCCGAGAATTGGGCAGGATGGAATCCTGAATTTTCAAAATAGGTCTCTATGAGCCCCACCACTTTTGTTTTGATCATTACCCAGGAAGTAGCTGAGAAGGGAAGATCCCTTTTTGGGAACAACTGTATTCAATGACCAAACTGCCTTACTAAGATATATAGACCGGGAGGAGGTGAGGGAAATAGAAATCTTTTCAAGTCAATTTTTGAGGAAGCTGGGCAAACCCCACAATACCGATGCATGTGGATGGTAGGGCACATGGAAGAACCATTGAATACCTTGACAATCAGCCCATTGTGTGTGGCTTTTGCCACAAAAGGGGCATTATTGTCAGCCTGCAAATGGTCTGGGAAGCTGATCACATAACCTAGATTAGCTTCAAGGGCCACAGTAATTGGTTTGAATTCAGCTGATCAGACTGGAACAGCAGAGGAGTAGCCTGAAAAAGTATCAACGGCAGTGAAGCCCCACTGATAGGCCCGAGAAAGGGTCAAAGGCCCAGTGCAGTTAATCATTCAGGAGCAGGTGGAGTTAGCATCCCATGTAATATGGGGTCCCTCATAGTGAGACAAAGGGGTCAGCTTTTGGCAGTTGTCACAAGTCTGGTATGCAATGGTAGCCTCTGCAGATCAGAAACATAAGCTCCTTTATTTTGTGCCCAGTCTGTGAGAGTGGATGTTTTGCCATGTCTGACCTAAGCAGCAATGATGATAATCTGGGCAGTGCAGGCTTGATTAGCAGCTTGATTTACATTGGTCTCATCAGAGAATTGGCCTTTCCGTTGGCATCCACGTGAATAACCCAGCTGGTTTGATCAGAAGTCATGATTTGTTTCTACTGTACCTGGGCCCCAAGAGGGGTGTCCTTAATCTATAGTTTTCCAAGTGGCAGACCAGGCAACTAGGCTATTGGCAGTAGCCAATAAGTCAGTAAAAATCTGACAAGGTTAATCAAAGGGAGCATCGGTCAGAGCTATGAGAATGGCCTGGAGTTCTGCCCACTAAGTGGAGCCACGTTCATTTTTGGTTCTGCATAGCTGGTGATGAGGTTGATTAGCTGCAGCAACCCAGTGACACCATTGGGTTTAGTTTGAGCCACCAGTGAACCAGGCCTAGGCATTAGAGGAATTTCTGTGAATCAAGGGTCCCATTGAGCCAGTGACTCGGCTTCAGGCAACGGAGTAGGGGATAAATTATCCCCCAAATGATAACTGTCACTTTTTCATGTAAAGTTGAGATGCTGCTTGTGCCAGGCCAGCTGCTTTCTTGAATATACCATTTCCTTTTGACAACTGAAGCTTAATGGGCTCATTTCACCTTGTTAGTCATCAGGTTTGAGTCAGCCCACCCCAAAATGGGGATATTGGGCTGGAGAGTCGCAAGGCTTCTATGGGTCAGATGTTTAGTTTTGACAAGAGCCCAGTAGCAAGCTAATAGCTGCTTTTCAAAAGGGCTGTTTCTAGTAGCCATGTCAGGGAGGCGACTAGTCCAAAACCCCGAAGGGCATTTCTGGGTGGAGGCTGCCTCTCTTTGCCAGACTTCAATCAGCAAAATCATGATCATTAAGTTGATGGGACCCTAAAGACAGAGAGCATGCCATAGCTTGCAGGGCAGCTTCAAACGTGATCTGTTTGTATAAGCCCCACTCAAAGGATGCTGATGAGCAGGTTAGCTAATATAAAAGACCAAGTAGCATGCCTAGGTGAACCACATACTCCTATACCCGAAGAGTCCAATAAGGTGCTGGGCTTTCTGTTTGGTTTGTAAGGCCAAAGAGCCAGCAGTTTTCCCATGACCACCAGAGGGATTGAATGTTATTAATGCACCCACATAGTTCCAAGAGATTTTGCTTGTTGAACAGGCCCCTAAATTTTGTCTGGGTTTATCAGATCCTCTTCCTGGCTACCCGCATGGTGTAATAGCATCACCGTCAAGGTCATTGAGGTAGAGGAACTCATGCCAAATCCTGACTCACCAACTGGTGGCAAATGGCAGGGGAGCTTAGGTATTCCTAGGGGAATACTATAAAAATATATGGGAGGCCTTGCTACATGAATGCAAGCTGATCTTGTTCCTCAAGTGTCAGTAAGATGGCACAAAGGGTATTGGTAATGTCTACGATAACGTACCAAGTGTCATCAGCCTGTGTGATGGATTCAGTTGCAGTCACAATGTCTGGAACAGCCAGGGCTATGGGAGCAGCAATTGAAATCAGTTGGCAATAATCTGCTATAAGCTTTCAACTCCTTTTAGTCTTTTTTTACTGCCTTAGAGGGCTGTTGTATTCAGATATTGCATTGTGGTTTTGATTTGCATTTCCCTAGTGACTAATAATGAACATCTTTTCATGTGTTTATTGGCCATTTGTATATTTTTCCCCAGCTTTATTGAGGTATAATTGACAAATAAAAATTATATATATTTAAGGTGTATAATGTGATGATATATATATATACATATATTGTGAATTGATTACTGTAATCAAACTAATAAACATGCATCACCTCACATTGTTACCTTTTTTATGTGTGGTGAGAACACATTTTTTTTTAGTTACATTAGTTTCAGATGTACAATTTAATGATTTGATGAGTTTGTACATTATGCTATGTTCAAAAGTATAGCAACCATCTGTCCCATTACATCACTATTACAATATCATTAACTGTATTCCTTACGCTTTGCTTTTTATTCTCGTGACTTATTCATTCCATAACTGGAGGCCTGTATGAGAATGCTTTTAAGATCTACTTAACAAATTTCAAGTATGCAAAACAGTATTATTAGCTATAATCACCATACTCTATATTAGATCCTCAGAATTTATTCATCCTGTAACTGAAAGTTTGCACCCTTTGACCCACATCTCCCCATTTTTTCAACCCTAGGCCCCTGGCAAGCACTATCCTACTCTGTTTCTGTAAGACTGACTTTCTTAGATTCCACATCTAAGTAAGATCATACAGCATTTGTCTTTCTGTGTCTAGCTTAATTCACTTAACATAATGTCCTCCAGGTTCATCCATGTTGTAACAAATGGCAAGAATTCCTTCCATTTTATGGCTGAATTATATTTGAGTGTGTGTGTGTGTGCATCATATTTTCTGTATCCATTCATCTGTCAGTGAACACTTAATTTGTTTCCGTGTCTTGGCTATTGTGAATAATTCTGCAATGAACATGGGAATGCAGATATCTTTTCAAGATACTGATTTCATTTCCTTTGGATATATACCCACAGTGGGATTGCTAGATCATATGGTAATTCTATTTTTAAT